AGATCCTAGCAGGAGAATTTACTAGAGGGACTGCTGGTGAAAATAAGGTTTTATCGAATGGAATAATCGGCAAGTTCGATCTTGCTGGCTAAAAAGATATCATATTGTTCGAGTCAAGCAGAACGACCAATTACCAGTAATTGTGCACTGATGAATGGTGAATATTTTGATGGCTCGCATATTAATGGGAGAGAATCGCCTAAGTCGATGACGTTGAACGACAGTGAGCTTATTTGAAACGTCGTTTGACCCACACTCATAATGTTTGGAATGTAAAGTTCAAGTAATCAATTTTCTAAACGATTTACAAAGTAAAGTATTGGCCAAAAACTCTCAACTTCCTGAAAAATTTATAAACGCAACGTGGAGAATGGCCGAAAGCTCGATAATTTTCATTGGGAAAAGATATACGATTCGAAAAGCTCGTTATCTATTGCTGAGGAAGTGAGCAGTTTTAAAAATTCGAAGTTGTCTCAATTCTGAGCGATATCTTTAAAAATTGGACGTTGGTCGAGTTGTTAGCTAACGACCTTACAAACCTTACGTGTCCAACCTTACAAATAGCTGCAATTTACGACTTTGCGATGTTTCGGTTTTAAAATCAAAATCATAGAGTATATCCAATGATCAACAAGTAAACACATTTCAGACCAAATTGAAAATCAGAGAACTATACTTCAACGTTATCGTTCCCCATCGCTGGATATGTACTTCAAAAATTGAATTGATAATTGATGATGAAATTATTCGCAAATTGTCAAGGACAATGGCATCACCAGAACCGAAACAGTCTCACTGACTATAACATTAATATCGCAATATTAATAGTTGTAATAGCAAACACGGCGAGAATAATAATGAAAATAAAAATAAAAATAGTAATAATAATAACAACAATAATGATGACAGCAATAGTAATAGTAATAGTAATATTAGTAAGCATATTAACAAAAAGCAGTAGTGATGGTGTTATTGATAGTAGCAAATTATGTTCTAATAATAGTAAAAATCATCACAATACCGATAGTAATGGTACCAATTAAAATACCAATGTAACAATAGTGGTATAGATGGAAATGCGTAATACGCATCAAAATCACGCATCATTACATAATTTGCTAGATTGCCTCGATTGAATATTTTTTCAAAATAGCCGATACGAATTCATAAATGTGAAAAACTTATTGAAGGAAGAACCGTTCGTGATGAAAACAACAAGCAATGCGATTGGTTACGAGGGCTTCTGCATTGATTTGTTGATTGAAATGTCAAGAATCCTCAAATTCGATTTCAAAATTATTGAGGTTTTGGACGGTACTTATGGGATCGAGGTTAGCAGACGCAGTGATTTAGATTAATTTTGATCAAACAAAAATCTTGAATCTTGTGTTGATGTTTATTTTGGATGCTCGAATTATCATGATGCCATGGATCAGTATGGTAGCTTACAAGGTGGTGACAAATTTATTGCTGGTTTTTAACGGATTATCTGTTCAAGGATGAAACAGGGAAATGGAATGGACTTATCGGAGTTCTTCAGAGGCGTGAGGCTGATCTGTCGGTTTCAGCTGTCACCATTACGTATAGCCGTGCCGAAGTTATTGGTAAGTGCATATGAGTGCGATTGCAATCATGGAACACTTACAATTAGGTGGTTACGTGCCATGGAAGGAAGAAAATCTTGAGGGTTAACTATCATGAGATTAGAGACTTCAACATGAGACTTTAAGTAGAATTTTGTTACTTACAACGAAAAAGTGGTATGAATGCGTTGAAATAAGCAGCGAATAGGTATTAATAGAACTGAAGCTGACTGGAAGTTTGCAATTAGATATCAGTCCAATCTTTTCCTTGAAAGCTTTTGACTTGAAAGACAGTGGCTTGATCGTATTTCAGAGTTACAGTTTACCGACTCTATTTTTGGCTTTACATCAAGCCTCTTCCTTGAGCATTACAAATTTTGGATTTAATTTTGGATTTATTCGCAGATTTCACTTTGCCCTTCATGCATTTGGGAATATCGATTCTGCTGGCAAAGTCAACGGATCTTCCTGAGAAGAGTGATCTCTTTACATTCTTACAACCGTTGTCTTTCTCGGTTTGGATGTCACTAATGGTCTCGTATTTTGTCGTCTCGTGTACGATGTGGTTATTGGCGAAATTCAGTCCTTATGAATGGTTCGTTTGTTAGTATTCTAAGGAAATGAATAAGAAAATCAACTGTGTCAAAGAGGTTCGGAATAATTGTATCTTTAAAAGGTTCGAAATAAAACAAGATCATCGTAACGATCAAATACGATCGAAATGAACTGTTTGAGTAGAAAGGTTGAACGGATAACGTTTGAGATTGTATCAAGACAGTGAAATGCAGTTGATAATTACAATTACAATGGATAATCAGTTATAAGATACGAACTCAATAGAAATGGAACAATTACAGCTAATAAAGCCAACGGATTAAATATCACGCAATTGGGAATCGTTAATTCAGGTACGATATTCAGCGAATTGACAATCGCGATAGAAGTATGGACGGACATAAAAACCAGTTCA